TGGGTGTCAATGAATCGAGTCGTTGACGCTGAATATATTGAGTAGTATATGTTTTAATGATGTGACTCCATTAATATGTCAATATGCACAGGTAAATATTTCTTGTTATTATATAATAGAAGTGTTACAGTGTGTAATGTGATACGATAATAAATTTAATAGTAACCATATTATAATTAAGAACTTAAAATAACTCTAAAGGGTAAACTACATCACTATCGGCTAGCGACTATTTAGCGATAATAATAGCCTACTATGTCTTTTACTAGCGGCGCTCAGTGAGTGTGCTCTTTTTTCTTTTCGTTTTAATATACCTCTTTCACTCTTTCTCTCTCATTCTCTTTTGTTTCTATTTTTTTCTCAAATTCTCTGTACCCTTTCTCTCTCTCCCTTTCTCTCCCACTCTCACATTCTTCTTCCTCTCGCTCTCTCTCTCTCTCTCTCTTCTCTCTCTCTCTCTCTTTCTCTCTACGTGTAATTATTATTCCTCTGTGCTCGATTGTTCCTTTCGTACCCATGTTGTTCTCTCCCAATATTTATTACTTTTTTTTTTCCTCTCTGTTTTATGTAACTCGTTCATCTCACTGCCTTTTTTTATCGTGTCCCTTGCAACCTGTCGCTTCCACAAACATTAACCGATTCATACAAAGCTGCTTTTCACATCTCTGTCCACGTTTCTTTCACCTTCTCTCTCGCATGCGAAGAGATTCGCGTTTCTCTTCCCAACAACAAACGTTTCGTCATGTCGAGGAATTTCTCGCACACGCTGTTCGATCCATGTCTCGATCGACACGCGAGAGATTCGAGAATAGATCGTTAATTGATAAATTGTTCTCTTAAAAGTACACGCCACGTTTGAATTATTACTATTAATTTTTTTTTTTCTCTTTTTTTCTTTTAGTCAATCCGACAAGAGAGAAGACAAATGTTGGAAGGGTGGTTCCGACAGCGGATTGCGAAAAGCGGTTTTTTTCGTGAACAGAGAGCTCGAAGCAAGCATCGATTTCTCGCGTGTATTATTTCCTTTGTTTTCTTTGTTTCTCTAGTTTCTCGTTATAGACACACGTGTACAAGCGTCCCACATACCTCTCTAGGACCGTGGTGTGAGGGGGTCGATCTCAGTGGATTGCTTTCGCGAGATGTCGCAGACAAAGAAATGAATGGATAATGAGTCAAACTGTCGGTGATTTTTTTATACACATACACATACATAATAATCGTATATAAACAATGGATGTGCGTGGATTCGTGGTGGTTGTGCTGTTGTGTTCAGTGTGTGACGGTCTAAACGGTATTGATCGATTCTTTTACATTTCGTTTGCTTTTAATCTTTTCCTGTTTTGCCGTTTCCTTCGTTTCTTTCTTTTTTTCATTCGAGTGAGTTTCTTTCTTTCTTTTTTTTAACTTTATACATACATACATACATATATATATATATATATGTACATATATATATATATATTATATTCGTT